AAGAAGAAAATAAAGAAGAAGAAAATGTAAATTTAACAATAGTTGAAAATAAAATACAAGATAATCAATCAGAAAAGTATGGGATTTGTATTCAAATGGAATATTGTACAGGAGGAGATTTAAGTAAAATTATTAAAAATAAGGAATTACATTATAGTTCACAAGAAGGAAAAAACAAAGTAATGAATTATTTTAAACAAATAGTTATGGGAGTTTCAGCAATACATCAACATTGTATTATTCATGGAGATCTTAAACCAGGAAATATCTTAAAAGAGAAAGACACTATGAAAATTGGAGATTTTGGACTTGCAAGAACAAATACAGATTATAAAAGTAAAATACTTGGAACAATTGGATATGCAGCACCGGAAATAGTTACAGGGAACTACGACAATAAAATAGATATTTACAGTCTTGGGATTATTTTATATGAAATGTGTTTATCACCTACAACAAGATCAGAATTTATTTATAACTTAGACCGACTAAAGAATCAAAGAAAGATTAATGGAACTGTCGAAAACCAATACCAAATGTATAAAGAATTAATACTAGAAATGACTGAGCCAAACCCAAAAGATAGACCAACAATAGATGAAGTATTAAAAAAATTAACAATACTTGATGAAGACCTTAAAAAAATATCGGAACTACTTCCATTTATTCAAGAAAAATCAAATTTATGGCCTCAATTATCAGCAGCAATTGAAAGTAAAATGAAAGAAAAGATAAAAGACATTGAAAAAGAAGAAACAGAAGAATTTGAATTAACAACAACACATTTAGAAATCATTAGAAGTTTAACAGAAATTCACATATTATATGGAACAAAAGCGATGTTTATGAATCCCTTTATACCATCAAGTTTATTAAAAGAAAGTGGAATAGAATATCATGAGGTTCAAAGTCCACTTTTAATTAATAAAGAAGGAGAATTAATGGTATTAATTAATAATTATCAAGAGCTTGTAAGAGTTATTATCAAAGAAATAAAAGAGCCAACGTCATATATTATCAGAATTCCAACAGTAAGTTTACATGTTACAAAAGAACCAACTGTATCACCATCACTTGTTTATATTAATACAAGTATTTCAAATGAACAACATCAATTTGATATTATAGAATGTATAATATTAATAGGGTCAATAATTAATGTATTTATGAATAAAAGTAAATTACATATTAGTCATAGTGGAATTAATGAGATGATTCATAATAATAAAGAACTTGAAGAAATTATGATTAAAAAACCAATACAAAGTTTAGCATCAATAAAAACAATTATTCAAAAGTATCGAAATGAAAGATTTAATTATATCATTCCAATATTTAATTATTTAAAAGAAAACGAAGACATAGTATATGACATTGGAATTTCAGGAAATAATAATCAAGGACTTTATTTTGAAGTTAAAAATGAGGAAGGGAAAGTAAGTTTAACAGGAGGTGAAACAAAAATAAAAAAGAATAAAGTAGAGATTAAAACGATAGGATATTGGATAAAAGTGGATAATATTTATCAAAGTTTAGGAGATAAAAAAGGATTAATAGCAAAAAGAAAAGTAATAGTAAAAGGAATAAGTGATAAAATGAGTAAAGCATCAATGAAAATATATTTAGAATATTTTGGATTTAATGTGATATATGAAGAAAGTAATAATGAATATAAAGGATGTTGGATTAAATTAAATATTCATAAAGATGGAAAATATGACTTTTTTACAAATTGTTTTTGGGATATTGGTGTAACATTAAATATATATATTGATAAAGATTTAATAAGAAAAGAAATACTTCCATTAGGAAAAGCAATAGGAAGTATGCAAAAACAATATACAAAGAAAAGTATTCCTATGTTAATTGCTGATGAGAAATTAGTATCAAATGAACTTTGGGAATGGATTTTATTACCAAAAGAAAAGATTCAAAAAAGAAAAAAAACTATTATTTCTCAAAATGGAGTATCATTTATTAGAGAATTAGAAGAATTTAAAAAAAATTTAAAATCAAAATGCAAATTTATATTAAAAAGAGGAAATGATAAAAAAATAATAACACAATAAATAAAATAATTCTTTCAATTTTCTTTTTATCTTTTTTTTTTTCTTTTTAATCATTTTTATTTTTCTAATATTTCTAATAATGAATTATATTCTGTAATTGATTTATCACTACGTCCAATTAATTCATCTATTGTTTTTAATAATCCATTTAATTCATTTAACATTATACTTATTTCTTCATATTCTTTAACATATGATGAAAATATATCATAATATGTTGAATCTATCATAGGAATATTCATTTTTTCATTTTGATTATTTTCTTCTATTTTTCTTCCTTCTTCATAATTTTGATTTTGTTCTTTTCCTATTTTTCCTTTCTCTTTATTTTTATTCTTCATTTCACAATATTCTTCTTTATATTCTTTAATATATTCAATAGCTTGTTGATTCTCTTTTTCAATATATCCATTTTGTTTTTTAATAATTTCATTCATTCTTCTTTTTTCTTCATTTTCATTCCCGGTTTTTTTATCACTTTGTGGTATTAATGCTAATTCCATTCCTTCTTCTCTTTTAATTCCTATTTCTTCTATCCATCCTTCTTTTATATCATTCGTAATAATTACTACTTTATCTTCAACTAATCCAAAATATTTCCCTATATTACTTTTTCCTTTTCTAAATTCTTTTTCTTGAAGTTCATTCCCATATGAATATACTATTGTTTTATCTGAAAACCCACATCCTATCATCATTACATTTTCATAACATCCTGTTGAAATATGTTTGATTGATTTTTCTATTTCTTTCCTTTCTCTTTCTTTAAATCCAACTTGAGTAACATCTCCATATATAATTTTATTCCGTGTTAAAATCCCTATTTGGTCATTAACATCTTTTGTTAAATTTTCTTTTCCACTTACAATTCTTATTGCAACTTCTTTACTTATATTTTTTATTTCCTTCCCATTAACTTCAAACACTCCTTCTTTTCCTCCTAAATATATCGTTTTTCCTAAACTAACACATGTAAATTCTTCTTCAAATTCTATCATTTTCCCATTAAATGTTTGTTTACTATTTTCTATCATAAATTCACTCGTACTGACTGGTGTTGCTCCTTGTAATTTAAGTGGTGCTACTTCAAATAAAAATACTTTTTTTTGATTATATAATAGTACAAATTTACTCATCCCTCCTCTTACTATAGAAAAATAATCTTGTACACTTTCAATTATTGTAGAAAATGAATAAATTGTTGTATTATTTAATGTCCCTTCTTTTAAATTTATATGATTAATACTGATACTATTACAAAATACCATTACTACATATTCTAAACTAAATGGTACATTTAATGGATATACTTTAACAACTTTCCTTGGAAATGTTAAAACATATTGCTTTCCTTTAAAATGATAAATCATATTATCTACTTAATTATATCTTTTTCTTTTTCTTATATGTCATTAAACAAACATTCAGAATATGTAACATATGATTGTAACATTGCAA